TCGGCGCCTGGACGCCACTATAAAAATAGACGGATATGAATTCGGGATTAGAATTAAACTTATTTTGCTTCGGTGATATTAAGAATATTTTTGTAAATAAATTTAAGTAACTAAATTTGAACATACTATACATTTTCTTACTGAAGAGACCTCGAATTAGTAATGCCACCAAATCTAAGGATCTTGTGGGCTGTTACAACCAACGGTACAGAGTTTTTTAATGATTTCGTTTGGATAGACTAGACGTAAACCACATATGATGATTCAAAATGTGAAAGAAAAACAATTTAATTATCTTCTAGAAGTTCACGTTCCTATATTCTTACATTCCAAGTAACATAATTAACAAATTCATTATTTGGTAGTGTGTATTAAAATTAAAGTATCACCTTCCTATGGTTATTAGCATCGTATTTAGGTACAGCAGTATCAAGTAAAACCCAGTTCTGACTCTAACCACTGAAATAGCTTTCATTTAAAAACTGGTTACAAATAGTGCTTAATTTCCAATAAAAAAAATGTTTATCTAGAGTTTGGAAATACGATTTATTATCCATTTTTAATAAAGCATTTATTTAAATTTTGTTTACACTGTAGTCTGCATTAAAAAAGAGTGCAGTTAAACTGGAGATTAACATCACATTCCACAGGCATACTTTGCAAAATAAGTTTCTATAATATAAATAAGGACGCGGCATATAAAATGGTATATACTCACTTCGTAGATTAAATTTTGAATAAAAGTTATATTATTTATAGAAAATAAAAATAAACCTTCTGACAAAATTGTTGTACTTAACATTGAACGAAATAAATTTAACCAATAAATAACAAGATTATATGTTGTTAATGGGATTAAACTTTTTTTAATCTCTTGACATTAAAAGTAACACTTTAGTACCTAAATCAAATATTAAAAAAAAATAAAAAGTTCAAGAACTGTCTTTAAAAGTCACTGTGTACCCTCCGTAAGGGTATTAGGTTTCACCGGGCAGGGTTGTGCACTCAGAGACAGGATTCGAATGTAAAATGAAGGATTATTCTAAAAATACTATATACAGAGTACTATTTACAAACTGTATAACCCCTGGCCCTACATACATTTTCGTAAGGTTTTGCGTAAATAATCCAGACGGAGCTCACTATACTTCGGCGGTCGTCGGCTGAATAAAATTTAAAGCAGAAAAATGATAGTAACGTTTTCGATTAAGCTTTTTTCCATAGGATAAAACTAAAAAGTCTATACCTTCTTTTTTTCATGAAATAATCTTTTTTATAAAGAATCACTTCAAATATGAATCACGCATTCATTCACAAAGAAAAAGGAAAACAAATATTAATAAATCAAGTTGTCCATCAAAGACGCCGGAAATTCGTGGAATGTATACGACGAACAAATCAAAATAAAAAATGATATCGTTGAATTTCACTCAACACTTGCCATTGGCAAGTGACACATCTAATGAGAATGAGGACAGAAACCAGGAAACTTTATCCTTCTACTTCCGCATTTTCTTTATTTCATTCTGGGAGATTAATTTGACACACGGTGCCTTTATTTTCATCGGTTTTCTTGTTCTCTGGAGACACTGCAGGGTTGCCAAAAATTGTTTTGCAACTAGGGAGATTTTTTAATCAAAATACTTTACGTGTGTGTCAACAATATCAAATTTTTATATTTAAAAAATTAAACTAAAAAATGAAAAATTGTGCTGAAAACAAAAACTGAAAAAACATTCTCCAAATCCTTATTTTTTATTGTCATTATTAGTAGGTATGTATTATTTTGTAACTGTTATGTTTTCCTCTGATACAATAAAATCTTTAATTCAAATATTGAATTTATTATGTATTTATTCAATTCCGTTAGGTATTTTACAAAAAATTCTGTATCACGTGGTTCGAACGTGTGTAATCCCGTCATTTGTTCAGGTTTATCTAATGTTTCAAATCAACAACTAGTTTTGGATAACAACAATTTTCGTGCAGTGGATAACATTATCTCAAGCATTATTAAAAACGAAATCATATCATGATAAAAACACGTGATGGATATAGGATATTGATGTAAAGGTAAAATTACATGCTTATATTTATTGATAAAATTGCAATATTGAAGTTTTACCTATATACATAGATTACTTTAATTCAAATTGAAATTAATGCATCACGATATTTCGTACTCTAAATAAATTTCTAGTTAAATGTTAGTGAAACGCAAAATATTCTCGTAGGTATATACTTAATGAAATACATCTTTTTGTTGAAATTCATATTTTGTACAATCTAACAGTAGGTCACTTATTCTGCAGTCCCAGCGCAGTTAGTAGTTGGATGGATCACCATATCAAAGAAAGTCGACGTACATCCAAACAAACTGCTCTCGTAGTTGCATACCACAGCAGGCAGGCGTTATATCAATAAGTACGAGGTATAGCATGGGGTGTGCCATCCTTTTGGAGAAAATGTAAAGCCGTCGCTCACAAGTCCATGAATGTTGGGTTCGTTAAAGATCCATACCTATGGTTGGAACAGCCGAGGATTCGGCTAAATTTCTGGTAATTGTGGGTAGCGTGCTCACTAGCGTCGGTGTTTAAACCTCGTAGTTATAAATGAGCAGACGTTAACAGCAGGAGTGTGTTTAGAAACCTCGCGCTGCGCGTCTTGACCCTATTCTAATGTATGTGGTCAGACGCGCCGTGCGAGGTTTCTAAACGTACTCCTGGTGTTTTACAGTAACGACAAAATTGCAATGTTCACATAATTTTTTTTCTGACCTATTGATTAGGTACTAATATCTTAACCTGCATAGTATATCCAATTCTTAGCCTTATAATAATTGTCTATGAGATGTTAGAGGTTTCCAGGGTTTTATGTGAGATTTCACTTCATTTAACTTAGCAGCAGATTGTTGCTATTCGTTTTGCCACGCACCAAATGTATTTTCTTTTAAAAGGATTTTCCCGTTACTAATTATACATTCGTACACTACCGTCGAACTGCCACTGATCACTCCTTAACGGACCAACTAGCCAGCTGCTCTACTTCCAAGAAGTCCAATATGGGATGGAGTCAACAAAAATATTATGTCCACTTTGGTGCTTTGAAGTTGGTGCTGCCTTAATGAGAAGGCGGATAAGGCTATATCAGCAAGTACAAAGGGATAATATTCTAGCTATGCCTACTGATAGAGCCATAACCACATACAAATTTGAAAGAAATTTTCAAATTCAAATACCAGCCCGAGAATCCTGGAAACAGGGACCTCCCGTACAGGCTGAACTCGTCTGGTACACAGACGGTTCAAAAACCAAGGAAGGAGCCGGTGCTGGAATCTATGGACCTAAGTCGAAATCGACGATTTCACTAAGCTTAGGAAAATATGCAACAGTGTTCCAGGCTGAGCTAATAGCCATACAACACTGTGCAAGAGAAATATTAAATCAGCAAGTATCAGGCAAAACTATTGCCATATACTCTGATAGCCAAGCAGCTCTAAAGGCAATTCTCTCACCAGAAATCAAATCACGACTGGTGAAAGACTGTCTAGAAGACCTGACAGAGCTAAGTAGTCAAAATAAGGTGACCTTAGCCTGGGTTCCAGGCCATGAGGGATATCAGGGCAACGAAAAGGCCGACGAATTAGCCCGAGAAGGCTCAGATAAGGCCATGACAGGCCCTGAACCCTTTTGTGGAGTCGCTAAGGCATTGTGCAAGGCATCCATTAAACAATGGATGCAAAAAGAGTCTCAGGAATGGTGGAACAACTATCCAAGACTGAGACAGGCCAAACAGTTCATCAAGGAACCATCGGCCAAGTTTACGAAAGACTTACTGGATCAAAAACGTCAAATCGTTAGGATAACAGTAGGCCTTCTTACTGGACACTGTCGCCTCAAAAGGCACATGAGTGTCATAAATCCAGCAGAAGAAGCAACTTTGTGCAGGTTCTGTGAAGAAGAAGAGGAAACATCATTCCACGTCCTGTGCCAATGTGAAGGCTTGGCTGGTATGAGGTTTCTAACATTGGGCGAAGAAAAGCCAATTGCATGCAACTACATGCGGGAGCCACTGTCAAAGCTACTAAGTCTAATAAAAAAGACCAGGCTAGACGACATACTCTAAAACAAACGGAGTCCCACAATAGATCTGAAAAGGTCGCGGTGGACAAGGACAAATAACGTCCAGCTCCTAATCTAATCTAATCTAATCTAATCTAATGAGAAGGCGGATAGGGTAAATGAAGTAAACCTAAATTTCAACGAGAGAACTAACTGAATCGGTGATATTTTAATTTAGACCAGTGTTCGATAGCATTAACACGCTACTTAGCACAAGTAGTTTTTATTGAAGCCAAATAGAGTGAAAACTGCTATTCCAACAACAATGTCTGTTGTGGAAGCATCTGTTTTGAAATTTGAGTATCATGTATTAGTTTGGTGGGAAATTCATGTTTGTTAAAGATTGTTAAGCTGGTATCTACTGATGGGCTTTGGAGAAGCCACGGGTAAATGGTATGTATATATAGGGATAAGATTCGTAGAAAATTGATATTGACTACTTTGACTTCTTTTTGAAATTAAGGGTTCCCCTAGTTCAACTTGTAAGCTCACTGCAGAAGAAGTTTGATAAGCACCTCAGATGGTTCAAAGAACCTTATTTCGGATAAAATATCAACGGTGTTGATACTATGTGGCTTTGTAGAGGCATATACTTTAGCGCCGTAGTCGATACACTTTCTTTGGAAGTACAAAAATGAAGGCCTGTATACAGATTTATTATATTTGATTTAGTCCATTGAAAATCTCTATACAAGCCAACTTCTAGTTTTAGAAACCCATGACATGATACATAAAATTAAATTTATATGTTACTCATATTTGGGTTCCTTCGTATATAAGAGTCTCCAGTTATTGAGCCTCAGTGGTAAATATGCACCCTAAATAAATTTTAATTTTTTTGGGCATTTAGATATTAATATTATATTTTTATTCTTACAGAAAATGAAGACAGATGATAAAAATAATATGCCCAAAGTCCGAATAGCTGTTATAGGAAAGTCAAACGTTGGAAAATCAGGTATTTATTATATTTAAATTTTATTGAATCTTATTATTGACCCTATTATCGAAAATATATACTTTAGAAAGACAGAGCTGATCTGAGTTAGGCTCAGTCAAAATATTAAAACCATTTCTAAGATTAATTGTGGTAGGTATAAAAGAAATTCACTAAAAGAAAACATGTATCTACTGAAATATAGCTGATCGATTATATATTTTAAAACGAATGATGGGGTACTCTAATTACCAATTTGTAAGTATTTTTTAATCATTAAATTAATACACGCGAATTACTTTTGTAGGTTATTTAATACATCAACCAATGACAATCCTCTAATTTTCAAAAACACGCCAATCAAAACAGGTTCTAAAGATATTGCAGTATTTTCACTCAATTTCGATTGGATTTAAAAAATTCAAATCGTTACCAGAGTAACGTATTAATCATTTATGCTAAACGTTGGTGTAAAGTTTGTCAAATAGATTTTTATAGATTTTTATAGATTTTTATAGATTTTTATAGATTTTTATAGATTTTTATAGATTTTTATAGATTTTTATAGATTTTTATAGATTTTTATAGATTTTTATAGATTTTTATAGATTTTTATAGATTTTTATAGATTTTTATAGATTTTTATAGATTTTTATAGATTTTTATAGAGTTTTATAGATTTTTATAGATTTTTATAGATTTTTATAGATTTTTATAGATTTTTATAGATTTTTATAGATTTTTATAGATTTTTATAGATTTTTATAGATTTTTATAGATTTTTATAGATTTTATAGATTTTTATAGATTTTTATAAATTTTTATAGATTTTTATAGATTTTTATAGATTTTTATAGATTTTTATAGATTTTTATAGATTTTTATAGATTTTTATAGATTTTTATAGATTTTTATAGATTTTTATAGATTTTTATAGATTTTTATAGATTTTTATAGATTTTTATAGATTTTTATAGATTTTTATAGATTTTTATAGATTTTTATAGATTTTTATAGATTTTTATAGATTTTTATAGATTTTTATAGATTTTTATAGATTTTTATAGATTTTTATAGATTTTTATAGATTTTTATAGATTTTTATAGATTTTTTATAGATTTTTATAGATTTTTATAGATTTTTATAGATTTTTATAGATTTTTATAGATTTTTATAGATTTTTATAGATTTTTATAGATTTTTATAGATTTTTATAGATTTTTATAGATTTTTATAGATTTTTATAGATTTTTATAGATTTTTATAGATTTTTATAGATTTTTATAGATTTTTATAGATTTTTATAGATTTTTATAGATTTTTATAGATTTTTATAGATTTTTATAGATTTTTATAGATTTTTATAGATTTTTATAGATTTTTATAGATTTTTATAGATTTTTATAGATTTTTATAGATTTTTATAGATTTTTATAAATTTTTATAGATTTTTATAGATTTTTCCAGATTTTTATAGATTTTTATAGATTTTTATAGATTTTTATAGATTTTTATAGATTTTTATAGATTTTTATAGATTTTTATAGATTTTTATAGATTTTTATAGATTTTTATAGATTTTTATAGATTTTTATAGATTTTTATAGATTTTTATAGATTTTTATAGATTTTTATAGATTTTTATAGATTTTTATAGATTTTTATAGATTTTTATAGATTTTTATAGATTTTTATAGATTTTTATAGATTTTTATAGATTTTTATAGATTTTTATAGATTTTTATAGATTTTTATAGATTTTTATAGATTTTTATAGATTTTTATAGATTTTTATAGATTTTTATAGATTTTTATAGATTTTTATAGATTTTTATAGATTTTTATAGATTTTTATAGATTTTTATAGATTTTTATAGATTTTTATAGATTTTTATAGATTTTTATAGATTTTTATAGATTTTTATAGATTTTTATAGATTTTTATAGATTTTTATAGATTTTTATAGATTTTTATAGATTTTTATAGATTTTTATAGATTTTTATAGATTTTTATAGATTTTTATAGATTTTTATAGATTTTTATAGATTTTTATAGATTTTTATAGATTTTTATAGATTTTTATAGATTTTTATAGATTTTATAGATTTTTATAGATTTTTATAGATTTTTATAGATTTTATAGAATGATTTTTTGATTTTTTTTTAGCATATTTACGAATTAAAATTAATATTAAATTTTTTAAGTATCCAAATTAAACTATGTTTTTTTAATTAGAACTAATCTTGATCCTTAATTTCCTTATTTTTTATTTTATTTTATTCGTTTTCTACGAGGCTGTATATCAAAATAATGAATTAGTGTAGAAATGAGAGATTTAAAAAGTACTTACATAAAAAAAATAATATTATGTATTTCAGTACAAAAAAATATTTTTAAAACATAAAATTGACAAATTATTAAAAAAATAGGACCTGTAAAATCAAATGCGCAAATTTGAAAAGAACCCTAATCTGAATCAATTTTTTTTCTCTCGTTTGAATAATCTTATCGGATATAAAAAATTTTGTTATGAATCGTAAGGGCATGGTTAAATTTTGTTTAATATAGTTTAAATATAGTTTCTATAACATTATTTTGCTATATCGAGGAATATCCACCTGCCATATTTAAAACTTTCATACCGAGTGCTTGTCGAGTTCTAACCAAATACAAATTCAGTCGAAATCCATATTTAATCAGACTGACCCAATAATATTCGGTGATTTCGATATTCCAATTGTCCCACGCCTTCAGCTAACCTATATATGCATTTCACCCTGATTCATACTGCAAAAGCAAAAAACCATAAGTACCAAGGTCACAAATCAGTTTTAAATATTTACGGACCTGTAAATACTTAGAAATGTCAAATTTAACTCAGAAAAAGTAAAGCTGGATTATAATTTAAAAAGTTACTAACAAACGGCCTAGGTCGAAAATTGTTATTTATATATTAAGAGCAGAAAGTGATATTTTGTCGCTTGAGACAGTTAGTTGCCCGCTCGACGCGTAGCAAAGCGCGGTAAATGCACACAAATGCACGCAAGATTTTTTTCTACGATCACATTATTTTAAGAAAGATATAAAACTGAAAATTTGTCGTAAGTAGTGTATAATGTATTGCCTACGTTAATCATGAAGAAGGAGTTGATATTTAAAATAAATGTTAACTTGGATAATAAAACGAAAAATTGACTAATTAAATTAAATTTTTTTCATGTTGATAATATTTTATAAATTAGTAAGAAAAGTCATAAATTATTTTGTCTTAATTTTTAAATGAGTTATTTTTCGTTAGTGGGTCGTATAAAAAATATAATGTACAACTCGAGTGGATTGTCCATTAAGCACACCGTCTACGGCGTCGTGCTCAACCTTCATCTTCGTGCAATATGGCCATCATATTCACTTTTGTTGCACAAACTACTATTGCGGCCATTTGTATATAGAAAAGTTGAAATTTTCGATTGTTTTCTATCCGAAAAAACGACGGATTTTGACACATTTTAATAAAAACCATTTAATTACTCTTTAACAAAGTGCCCACTTAACTGAAGTAAAAATCTGTTGTTTTTAAAATCTAGAACTATCAATTATTAGGGATTGAATACACAAATATATATTGACTATTATAAAAAATGTACGTGTAAATTCAATACCTTTTAATCAAAAATTTGATAGACTGATGTCGGATCGCATTTATAATGCACAATTATTATTGCAAATACTCTTAACATTATAATTGAACAAACTATTAAAATATTGATGGCACATTTGATCATTAGCCTAGTTACTATAAGTAAATAAATCGGGTAATTGGTTTGTGCGCCTCGACCTAGCTGCTCTTGTAGGTTTGTAGTTACAATGTCTCATTGATGTTTTTAATTTGTCACCGTGCAGGTGACCTAAATCGAATGAAAATCGGGTTAAGGTTTGTCTAATCTCTGTGATAAATAATTTGTCGGGGGACAGGAGGAGTTGACTGGTTAAATTTGTAAATTGATAAGTGAGGAGTTTTATCAAAAGCGACTTTAATAAATAGTACAGTACTCACTGTTTTCTTGACGAAAAATACAACTCAAAATCTTTAATTGGAGGTATTACAAAGAAATTTTAAGGACGGGATTAATCAGAGCTTAATTGACTCTCTTTTAATAACCGTTCCAGGTATGGCCCGACTGCGCCACCAGTCAGTTTTCCCCGTAATTCTACGGCTAGATTACGCAGATGTTAAAATTGCGCCGGGATTAATATCTACCTGCACCCTAGAAATGCAAAGCCAGATTAAGTACTCACCTACGAAAAATTCAAGATTTCTAAAAACTGTTCAACATCGTTGAAACGATATAAAACAGAATATTAATAGATAGAATATTACATTAGGTACAAATACAATACAAATCCATTATTTATGAAATAATTAAAAATGAACCTAAATTTTAAACTGCCCTATATTTGTTAAAAATGCATGTATTTCACCGCGGGTTTTGGAGTTGGATAGCTTTTTTTCTTCGTCTCTTAGAAACCAAGTCTTTATTTTGCCATTTGCTAATATTATACAGGGCATTTTACAAAGTATGCACCCTTGTAAAATTCACAAAATTTTAATTTGGGATTTGGGAAGTACAAGGGTGTAAAAATTTCAATTTTTGAGACCGTTGGTTACAGCTTTCCTTTAAGTAGCTTCTATATCAGTTTCATCTTAGTGCCGTGAGTGATAAATAAAAAATAGGGTTTTTTAAAAATCTTTCTTTAGACAAAAACACTCTAATTTTTAGTGATTTTTTTGTCATAAGGACTTTTAATTATCAAGGATGGTAAAGCTATAGTTAATATAAGTCATTTATACAAGGTGATTCAAAAGTACTCAAGCTTAAATTTAAAGATTTTTATAATTTGTTTTATTGAAGAAAAGCTACCAATCTCAAAAACCCGTTAAGTTTTAACCTCGCCTTATATCAATACTGTACATCATATAACACCATAACACAATAATAGCAATAATGCGTACATATAA